TATTGGTGTATAGAAATGCCATAGATTTCTTGGCATTAATTTTGTATCCTGCTACATTGCCGAATTCATTTATTAAGTCTAATAGTTTTTTGATGGAGTCTTTAGGGTTTTTTATGTACAATATCATGTCATCTGCGAGTAAGGACAGTTTTATTTCTATATATATATGTATTCTTGACCTTGCTTTTTAAAAAATCCTCACCCAAGGATATGTTTATTGATTTGAGAGAGAGAGAGAGAGAGAGAGAGAGACAGAAACATCAATCAGTTGCCTTCCATACATGCCCTGACTTGTATCAAACCCGCAGCTAGGCAGATGCCCTGACCAGGAATAGAATCCACCACCTTTCGTGTATGGGATGATGCTCGAACCAACTGAGTCACACTGGCCAAGGCTTGATCTTGCTTTTTAAGTTTAGAATTTCTCAGAGGTCATTCCTTTTCAATTTATAAGGAGCTACCTCATGCCATTATTTATCTGGTCATTTTCTTACTGACAGACACTGATAAACAATGCTGTGACAAAAATCCCTGTACATACACTATTTTGTATTTCTAAGGGAGTAATTCCTAAGAATTAAATTGCTAGATGACAATATCCATTTATAATTCTGACAGAATTTACCCAAACTACCTGAAGCTGCACTAGTCTATAGTCCCTAAATAAGCATTACAGTATTTTTAGACTGACATTATAAAAGAAATATATTTTTTAAAAGCATATGGAGTGTAAGGGTGAGGTAGGAAAGGAGGGAAGGGAGAAAAAAGAGAGCTAGCTTACCTTCCAAAGTCACAGAGTTTTAATACAGCTGTATCAGGGTCCAACAAGAGGTTCTGTGGTTTAATATCCCGATGGCAGATTCCAAAGGAATGAATATAGGCTAAACTTCGAAACAGCTGATACATATACAACTGGAAAAAATAGCAAAAATTAATTGAATAGTTTCTCTCTCAAACAATCAGAATCTTTAAGCGAGTAAATAAAGTAACAGATAAGGTGAAATGCTGGGGATTATTAGTACTCAATCTTCCTTTAACAAGTTTCATGTCATTTCTATGTTCATTAGCTAATTAAAGTTTCATTAACCATATAATATATTTACACCATCTTCTACTAACTTAAAAAAGAAAATTTTACAATATGCCTTATAATTTTTTATTTTACTAAGATTGCAAAACAAATCCAAGATGTGTTTTTTTCAAATGGATAAAAAGCTCAGAGGGCTATTTCAAATCATGTGTCTAATAAGAAAGTTTAGACCAAAAGCCAAGTCTTCAGTTTTTAAGTTCATCATTCTTTAAAAGTATTTGCAGTTTCATCTTCAGAATAATAATTTTCTGAGATGTCAGCCCCAGAGATTATCGATACAGAGGACTGGAAAAATTCACATGTGAACTGAGAAAATCTATAATCAATGATCTATCAAGATATCAGTGACCCCATTAATAGCATCACTATGCTTCCTATTCATATCCTTAAAAAAATAAGTAGACTTTAAAATGCCATTTAAAAACAGATCCTAGCTGACTACTGACATAATTTAAAAGAATATTTGTTCAAATTTTACTTGGAAAAAAAGCACCAAGAAACTGGATCTGCATGGAAGAAAGAATCAGACTCTTGACTGAGGAAGTATAAAGAAAGTGAGTACAGCTGACTCTTGAACAACATGGGCTTGAACTGCATGGGTCCACTTATATACGGATTTTGTTCAACAAATATATTAAATAATTTTGGGGTGAGATTTCCTTACTACTGTGAAGCAATCACATCTATAACACAAGGTTACCATAAAGTTATCATATTGTTGCTTCTTATTTTCAATGCATGAATTGTTATAACTGTAAATAAACTGAACTTCTTTTTCATATTATCTTTTCAATATTTATGCTTAGTGTTAGTAATACATATAATATCTATAATGTTTTGGATCATACAAGAAAATAATGATACAGGTACTAAAAGACAATTTATCAGATGATAAATCTTAAATAAACAGATGATGCAAACTTAAGAGTATCAATAAATGCAGTGTAGTACTGTAAATGTATTTGCATTTGATTTCCTTACTAACATTTTTTTTAGATTACTTTATTGTAAGAATATAGTATATTATACATATAACATTCAAAATATGTATTAATCAACTATATTATAAGTAGGGCTTCTAGTCAATAGTAGGCTATTAGTTAAGTTTTGGGGGAGTCAAAAGATAGAGGTGGATTTTTGACTGGAAGTGGAAGTAGGGGAGGGTGTCAGCACCCTTAACCCCTGCATTAAAGGGTCAAGTGTATCTTAAACCTCCTGTTTATCCTAAGGTCCATGTTCTGGTTCATTTTAAATTTTTCTGACTACACCTTGGAAAGACTTTTTGAAATGATTCAAAACAAAGATACCAGTGACTTGATTAAAAAAACAACAAAAAGGATAATTAAAGTTCAGATAGAGCATTGTCACAAGGCACCATATTTAGAGGCTATTGTTAAGACTTTTTAATTCAAGTTAACATGACACCTGCTTTCTTTCCAACAGGCCATGATGAAAACTGCAGACAGGTAATTTCAGTGCATCCTTAACATTATACTGAACTACAGCTGGAAAAGTTTAATGCTTCTTTAAAATGAAGCATAATGTAAAATGTATAGATAAGATCTTCAATTAGGTCAACATTTTGTCACCAAAGTTAGAATTAAGGAATTTAGATATTTATATAACTTTTACAAAAAATCCTCACGCAAGGACATGTTTCCCACTGATTTTTAGCAAAAGAAGAAGGGAGAGGGAGGGAAGGAGAGAGGGAGAAACTGGCAGACATCGATGTGAGAGAGAAACATCGATAGGTTGGCTCCCTTATGCACCCCAACTGGGGATTGGACCCGCAACCTGGTATGTGCCCTGACAGGGAATTGAACTTGCAACCTTTCAGTGCTCAGGACATTGCTCCAACCAACTGAGTAACACCAGCCAGGTCGTTCATGTAACTTTTTAAAAGCTTCATAATTCTAATACTGTATCATTGTTCACAGCATCAATCTCCAAGTCCTAAAGCTTACTCTCAGAATTTTAAGAGTTTAATTCACTGCCACTACAAAAAAAAAAGTCCCCATAAGATATTGAGTTCATAGACATTAATTTACTAAAGACAATGATGTCTAGATCAGCAAGAATCAACAGGAAAAAAAAATGTTTTCTTTGCTAAATTTGCTTAAGAGTTTAAATAAGGTTAAAGTATCTTTTTACTATATTCATTCATCTGAAAGATCTACCCTATCTCCCATTCTCTTCACTTTATCTTTTGAAAAGTCAATATAAAGAATGACTTTTTATTTGACTCTGTAAAAGTGTATTTATAGGATAACTGAGAGGCTTACTACACTAGAAAGCAATAACAATATAAACAACTGGTCATTATTCTAAGAACTTTACATGTATTATTTCATTTAACCCTTATGTAATAGGTACAACTATTATTTCTATTTTATATATAAAGTAACTTAGACACATAGGTTAAGCGATTTGTCCAGTATCATATATTTAATATTCTGCAGTGTCTTGGGTAAATATGCCTCTTTTTATTACTATTTCTTTATTTTGCCTTATTCTTATTCTATTAACTAAAAGTGCAAAAACATAATTATTAAATAGCTTGATCACTAAGTTAAAAAGACTAGAATGATAAACTCTTAGAAACTCAGATTATCTAGTACATTTTGAAATTTGAGATTTAACAAGTACTGTAAAATCAAGTGTGTTTCACCATTTGTTTATTTAATTATGTAACCACTCTGTGATATACACATTTGTCCTAAATTTTACAAGAGATCATTGAGGCCCATTAGCAGGTTGAACACAATCTGAACCCAGTTGCAAAATTATTAAATCTAACTTCAAGTCCAATGTCTTCTCTCCTCTGTGCTACTAAACCTGTTTAAAACTCATAGAATAACAATTTTATTCATGATTCATAAAAATGCATCCAGCTCTTGTGTACCCAGACCCTATCCTTAAACATGTATTTATTAACTTAAAAAATTTCAAGATCAATGATTTGTCAGGCATCTGTTTTAGAATTGTGTTTAAACACTCAATTATGAAAGCTATTAATCAGAAAAGCAAAGGTGCTATCTAACTATCATCAACTATAAAGTGACCAGTACTATAAAAGGGGTGAAGAAAGAGGTCTGAAGCAATAAACTCATAAAACATACTCAACTCCCCCAGAAAATATGAAAGTTAAAGAGTCACAAAAAACTACAATTGCCATTTTGGTAACACGTTTGCCAAGTAAGTTCTTATTAAATGGTGAGGTCTGTGAAGGCAAAATTTACTTAAGGAAAAAACAGTATTTATTCAGCTGGTCACTTATTCAAGTGACCAGCTGAATAAATTAGGATACAGCCATGCAACAGACCAATATATACAGCTGTAAAAAAGAAAGGCAAATAGCTCTATCTATCTATCTATCTCCAGAATACATTTTTTTTTACATTTTTAATTTTAAAAGCAAGGTAGAAGAATGTATACATTATGTAACCATTTACATAAAAAGGAGATGGAGCGATAAAACAATTATTTATTTACTTAAAAATTTTGAATATTCATTTCTGGGAGGGGTGAGGAATAGGGTAGAGGAAACGGATAACAACAGCTAAACTTCTTAAACTGCATATATCTTGTTTTATAGATTTTACTTTGGAACTAGGTATTTTCTATTTTGATGGAAAATTAACTTCAAAAAAGCTTAAAACACAATCTATAATAAAAGTAAATTAAACAAAGCTTAGCAGGGCATAATCACAGACAGAAATTATTCACTGTTTATTTAAAATAGAGAAATTGGACTGTTCATCTAATGCAGTGGTTCTCAACCTTCTGGCCCTTTAAATACAGTTCCTCATGTTATCACCCAACCATAAAATTATTTTCGTTGCTACTTCATAACTGTAATGTTGCTACTGTTATGAATTGTAATGTAAATATCTGATATGCAGGATGGTCTTAGGCGACCCCTGGGAAAGGGTTGTTTGACCGCCAAAGGGGTCACGACCCACAGGTTGAGAACCGTTGATCTAATGGCATGTACCATGGGAATAAAAAAGAGCTGCAAAAAGATCTTAAATTATTTTCAGCTGGTATTGGTAGTGCTGGTATTGCTATCCTAAGACTACTGTATGTATAGTATGGGACAGAACAAGTAAGTAATTATACTGTCATTAAAAAATGGAATTTTTAGTGTAAAGAAAAGGAAATAGAGATGGATGATTGTTAAGCCCCTCAAAATTTAATTAGAAAGATAGCCCAGCTGGTGTGACTCAGTTATTGAGCATCAACCTATGAACCAGGAGGTCAGGATTCAATTCCTGGTAAGGACACCATGCCCAGGTTGCGGGCTCCATCCCCGGTAGGGGGCGTGGAGGAGGCAGCCGATCAAATGATCCTTTCTCTTCGTTGATGTTTTATTTCCCTTTCCTTTCCTCTCTGAAATCAATAAAAATATATTTAAAAAAGAAAGAAATATCAATATGAACTCAGAGTGTATTTATCATTGGGGTGAATAAAAAGATGTAATTTATCTTTGAAAACAATCATCCACATATTTCCTAGATCTGTCCACTAAAAAGACTTAAAAACAATAACCAACTCTATGGTAAGTAGCACCCCCAATATCCACACTGTGATCTCTGAATACCATTTCCCACTAAAAGAGTAAGTTCCCCTGAAGAAAAGGCTCATTCCAACTCTGCAGAAGAAATGTATAAGATGAACCTAGAGTACTGTCATGATAGAAAGCAATGAAGCTATCAAAGATTACTAAGACTTGTCTAAGAAGCTTTAAAACAAACACAACAACAACAACAAATTACTCCTTGGTCACCTTTGGAGGGTGCTATGGAACCAATAAATTATTATAAATTTTGATAAAGGGAAAAAATCAAATATATATCCTGTCTTATATAAACTGTACCTCAGGGTAATGAAATAGCTGACATGGAAAGTTTCTATTTATGGAACTATTCTAGCTTATAAATTAAGAAGGAATAACATTAAAATATCATTTTATGACCAATAATGAATTAATGGATTTAGGCAATTATCATCAATGGCTACAAGCATCACAAAAAGAAAGATATTATGTTCTTCCTTAGGAAAGCACCCAAACCTATATATGAAATACTCTTGATTCCTACAAAAAAATTATCTAATATCAAATTTACAGGAAATACAGAGAAAAGTAATATACTACATTGTACTGCAGTAATCCAAGCACAAAATCCAGACCAAAAAACTGTAGGTCAAATGATCTAGTTTCTTTAATAACAAAGTTGAGAGAGAGTGAGAGAGAGAAAGAGAGTGAGAGAAAGAGAAAGAGAATGGGGGAGGGGGAGAGAGAGAGAGAGAGAGAGAGAATGAGAGGGAGAGAGAGAATGAGGGGGAAGGGAAAAGGGGAGAGGGGAGAGGGAGAGATTAAAAGAAACATTAAGAAGCACATACGCCAAGGTTGCAATTAATAAGTAGAACAACAAATTGATCTCTCTCTCTCTCTCTCAAATCAATTAAAAAATAAAAAAGAAGCAGCAGCACATCTGCCAGTTGCAATATAGGGACTTTACTTGGATCCCAATTCTAACAAATAAATTTTTAAAATATATATAAGACATATTGGAAATATAAATAACTGGATATTTAATCAGAATTATGCTGGATAAATTCCTAGCCACTCTGTCATGAGTTCTATAAAATAAAAAAGATAACATTGGTATTAGGTACCAAAAATAAAATAATACCTTGAAAGAGTCTATGCATATTTAAAATTATCAAAAGTTGAAACTTCAGCTACAGACACAATGTATATGTAAGTGGCAATAAAACATTGAATCTGATCATACTTATAACTATATTTTATAATTTTATGGTATGATTGCTCTTATTTCAGTCTGTGGTACAATAAGTATATCAGAAATTAAATAAAAAGGTGCTATGCCTAGCAAAATTAAGTCCATAATTGTCTGTGAAAAATTCACTTATCAGAAAGATGACAAGTATCTTTAAGACCTGAGTCATTAAAGTTTAAAAAGTAAAGGCTTCACACTTTAAAACTGTACAAGAATTTAATGAAACTCTAGCAATACCTACTTTGCAGCTTTCCCCCCTTAGTATTAGATGCGATAATGTAGTTAAAACACATAGCCCTCTCCCTGGCTCATGATAAGTACTTTTTTAAATGGAAAATTGCTCCATTTTTACATACCTTGACATAGATCACAGGAAGCGTCTGTTTAGCTCGACTATAGTGTCTGGCAACTCTGTATACTGTTTCCGGAACATAGTCCAGCACCAGATTGAGATAGACCTCATCTTTCTGAAAAAGTTTATTAAAAACAAAGAAAATAACAAGATTAGAAACTAGTCTTTAAATATTCAAATTAGAGTAAATGCTCTACATATTCACTTATTCAGATTAAAAAATTAGAATGTGTTCAATTTTAATTATACAAAATTAAATCAGAATATAACCATAATAATAAAAACAATCTACCACTTTTTCAATACCGTTAAGATTCTTAATCACATTCAAGCTATTATTTAGGTTATATGATTTTAAAGGATACCACCTACCACAAAATTTCACATTTTCTAATTTGAGAATCAATGCCCTCATATCCTATCAGGAAAGGTGTCATAGCAATAAAGTGAGTATTGAATTGGGAACTACAATAGTGTATTTCTAGCCCTATCTCTGCTGCTAACTTAAATAACTTAAGTTACTTAAATCTCAAGGCTTCAGTTTTTTCAACTATAATACAAAAAGCTGGACTAGATGTTCTCCAAAATTTCTCTAACCTCTACAAAAAGATTATATGGTTACCTGATAGTCTATATTTAGTAGAAAAATCATTTATCTTCTACAATTAACTGAAAGAAAAAGAGTAACTTAAAAGGCAGCAAGTTACCATACTCACAAGTTTACTGCAGGTCACAAGTTTAAACATCCATTCTCAGTAGCATAAAGACACCAATCCAAGATCATTGGAAAGAAAGAAGGGAATTCCAACTAAGTACCAAGTAGGAAAGAGGAACAGAGTGCTACTCTTACACTGAACATGTGAACAATATCAGATAAGTACACTGAAGTAGAAAACAAAGCTGAGAATCGCTGTGTTCAAGTCTATAATTGGCCACTGAGTGGGAAAATCTTTAGGTAAACAAACTTTCAGTCTTCCCAATTTGAAATCATCTTACCTAACAAACTGAAGTGAAGAATTTCAATTTTCAGCATTAATTACTTTCTATATGTCAGTGGCTACAGCAGAGGAAGTAAGGGAGCAGGTATAAAAGAGATGACATCTAAACTGAGTATGAAAGGGCCATTTCAGGCAGAGAGAAAATCATTTTCAAGATGTGGGGTCAAAGAGTACAACATAGCTCAGGGAACAGTTTAGTGAGATAGCAAACCATTGACCTTACCACCTTTTCACTAACCTTTACTTTTTCATGTTCTCCTCTCTTCCCTTTCACATCCAGCTTAAATTCCTTAGTCTGTCACAGGAATCAGTAAACAATAGCTGCCTGTTTTTATAAATAAAGTTTTATAGGAACACAGTGATGCTGATTTACTTAAGTAAGTCTGGCTACTTTTGAACTACAATGGCAGACTTGAGTAGTTGTGACAGAGACCACATAGCCTGTAAAACCATAAATATTTACTATATGGCCCTTTATGAAAAAGTTTGCCCAGTCTGCTGTAGTATATACCCTCCTCTTATGCCATGCTTGTTTGATAAACCACAACTTTGGTTAAATGCAGCTTTCCACACATTCTCTAACTATACCCAAAAGATGAACATGGCTGCAAACCTAAAATTTTGCTAATTGGTCTCACATTAAATTCACCTTTAAGTAATTCAATCAGCCCAGTAGTAATAAAACATTTGCCTAATCTATTCACTTTTTTCTTTTTAAAAAAAATTAAATTATTGTTTAAAGTATTCCCCCATTGACCTCTCCCTGGCTGTTCCCACCCCCCAGCACACACACCCCTACTGTCTGTCCATTGGTTATGCTCATATGCATGCATACAAGTCCTCTGGTTGATCTCTTACCAAACCCCCGCCCCTGCCCCACCTTCCCTCATGGGTTGGACAGTCTGTTCAATGCTTCTATGTCTCTGGGTCTATTTTTGTTCATCACTTTATGATGTTCATTATATTCCAAAAATTAGTGAGATCATGTGATATGTATCTTGCTCTGACTGGTTATTTCGCTTAGCATAATGCTCTCCAGTTCCATCCATGCTGTTGCAAATGGTAAGAATTCCTTCTTTTTTACAGCAGTGTAGTATTCCACTGTGTAGATGTACCACATTTTCTAATCCACTCATCTGCTGTTGGGCACTTAGGCAGTTTCCAAATCTTAGCTATTGTAAATTGTGCTGCTGTGAACATAGGGGTGCATATATCCTTTCTGACTGGTGTTTCTGTTTTCTTGGAATATATTCTGAGAATTGGGATTACTGGGTCCAATGAAAGTTCCATTTTTAACTTTCTGAGAAAATGCCATACTGTTTTCCACAGTGGCTGCACCAATATGCATTCTCACCAGCAGTGCAAGAGGGTTCCTTTTTCTCTGCATCCTCGCCAGCAATTGTCATTTGTTGATTTGTTGATGATAGCTATTCTGATAGGTGTGAGATAGTACCACATTGTTGTTTTGATTTGCACCTCACAGATGACTAGTGACTTTGAGCATGTTTTCATATGTCTCTTGGCCTTCCGTATGTCCTCTTTTGAAAAGAGTCTATTTCGGTCCTTTGCCCATTTTTTGATTGGCTTATCTTCCTTTTGTTAAGTTGTATGAGTTCCCTAGAAATTTTGGAGATTAAACCCTTACTGGAGATAACATTGGCAAATATGTTCTCCCATGCAGTGGGCTTTCTTGTTTTGTTAGTTTCTTTTGCTGTGCAGAAGCTTTCTATTTTGATGTAGTCCCATTTGTTTATTTTCTCTTTAGTTTCCATTGCCCTAGGAGCTGTATCAGTGAAGATATTGCTTTGGCATATGTCTGAGATTTTGCTTGTGTATGGTGTAAGTTGGTGGTCTAGTTTAACTTTTTTTTTTTTGCATGTATCTGTCCAATTTTCCCAACACCATTTATTGAAGAGACTGTCTTGACACCAATGTATGCTCTTGCCTCCTTTGTCAAATATTAATTGAGCATAATGGCTTGGATCGATTTCTGGGTTCTGCTGTTCTGTTCCATTTGGTCTATATGTCTGTTCTTGTGCCAGTACCAGGCAGTTTTGAGAACAGTGGCTTTGTAATATAGCTTGATATCTGGTATTGTGATGCCTCCAACTTTGTTCTTCATTCTCAGGATTGCTTGGCTATTCGGGGTGTTTTTTTATTCCATATGAATTTTTGGAGAGTTTTGTTCTAGGTCTGTGAAACATGCCACTGGTATTCAATCAGCCCAGTAATGATATTACACTTGCCTAATCTATTCTCACCTTTACCTGATGACCTTTCTTGTACTGCATATTTCCATCTACCAGCATCTATCCCCATATGTTCTTTCTTTCTTTCTCTAGAGATAAACTGACCAAGCTTCTTTCTAAGGCAAACCCTGATACTTGTTAAAAAAAAAAAAAAAAAGACACTATTCTGTTTTTCCTATTCAGTCATTACTTCAGTAATTTTCATGTTTTTCTCCATAAATTCTTCTCTCTCTGTGGGAGCATTACAATCAGTACACAAAACTGCTGTTATTTCTCCCATCATTAAAAAACCCTTTAATACAATAATCACCACAATATTTTTAGGCCCCCTTTAAGAGCAAAATGCCTGCCTCTCTGGTTTGGCTCAGTGGATAGAGTGTTGGCCTGCAGACCGGAGGGTCCCAGGTTCGTTTCCAGTCAAGGGCGCATGCCTGGGTTGCTGGCTTGGTCTAACGTGCAGAAGGCAGCCAATCAATGATTCCCTCTCATCATTGATGTTTCTATCTCTCTCTTCCTCTCCCTTCCTCTCTGAAATCAATAAAAATATATTTTTTTAAAAGAGCAAAATGCCTCAAAAGAGGTGTCTACACTTTTTTGTAATACCTGTCTCAACTCAATCTCTCTAAAAAACGTACTCCTCTGAATTTCACGACCATTACTACACCAGAATTGTTCAAGATCAATAATCTCTTTGTTGCTAAATCCCATGTCTATATTAGTCATCTAGAATATCACAGGAAGAGGGGAACAAGAACACAGAGAAGCGATATAGTATGAATTAAGAGGCAAGGTTAGTATGAGTCACACAAAGTCCCAACTCTGCTACTACAAGTTATGGGACCATGAGCAAGTTACTTAACTTCTCTAGACCTCAGTTTGCTAAAAAATAATGCTAATGATGGTGTCTACTTTAAAAGACTGTCTTAAGATTATAAGAAATAATCTATATATAAAGTTCTTTAAGCACATTACCTGTCACATAAAAAAGACTCAATTTTAACTATTATAATCTTTAGAAAGGAACAATACCTTTTTTTTTTTCCTTCCCGTAAATCTAAAATAAGTGATTAGGTGCTGGGGAGAATTGAGTGAATGTCTGATGACCCTATTTTTTGTAAAGCGATGAGGTCATATGTAAACCTGAGGGTAGCAAGAGTAATGCTGAATACTTCTCTTAAAATTTTAGAGATCAAGATTTATTTAGACAACGACCAGTTCCGAGTGAAGGTGAAGTCCAATAAAGAAAATAAATAAAAAAGAATGCTAAAGTGGTGTCAAAGAGATTGTTGTGTTAAATAGATTTCAAGAAATGGTGAATCTTGGGTTTTGGAAAGGTCATTAACACAGACGTCAAAGCTATCCTTTTTTAACTACTCGATTACAAGGTTTCTTGATTTTAACAAATCATTTGACTAAGTTAATCATGATATATTTATGAATGACCCGGAGATGTGTAAGAATGTGTTACAATTTAATTCATTTGCTAAACAATCATAACAAAAATGAAGAATAAAAAGATTTAAAATGAATGCCAAGGACAAAAAAGGTAGGGCCACAAACTCTGTCCTTCACTTATCTCAATCAATATTTTCATAAATGATTTCATTTATTAGGAGTTGCAAAAGTAAATGCCTTCAATGACTAAGCAATAAATGTAAATGTGTGAAACAAAAATGTGTAATGCAGTAAGTTACAGTGATTGGTAATTCAGATAGTACAAGACTTAACTAAAAACATTCTAATTTAAAAAATATTAACAGAATATGCTAACCAAATAAAACACATTAGAGAGGGAATTTGGCAGTCAGTTTAGAATTTTTGACTTCAACACAACTATCTAAGACTGACACAAACCTAGGAAAAATGCC